ATTGCAAATACAAATATTATGATGTGTAGTATGTTTCAGCTTGATTTAAACCACCATTATTTGGCTGTGTTAATAAACAGACATAATATGAAAATTATGTATCTGTGTCCTGTTATTTATCTTTTGGTATGCATTTCAGAAAAAAAAAATGGTTAGGATTCAGGTGTAGTCGCAAATAGTGATTAATCCTGATTAATCCACTGAAAATTCTGATTAAAAATTTTAATCATTTGACAGCCCTAGTATCTATGTATATGTACACCAGAAGAAAAATATTCCGTTTTCAGACCGTTTATTGTCCTCTTCATACATGCATGCATGCAAGTGCACACACACACTAACACACCACTGTAGCCTCACATCTCTGGGACCAAGGTTCAAGTCTCTGCTATAGCTCTGTGTGTGTGTGTGTGGAGTTTGCATGATCTCCCCATGTCATTGTGGGGCTTCCTCTGGGTACTCCAGTTTCTCTCCCACAGTCCAAAAAAATTCAAAGATTGATTTGTGTTACCTAATAACCCATAGGTGTGCATACGTGAGTGTGCCCTGTTTTGGGTTGATGCCCCATCCTGGTTTGTTCCCTGCCTTGTGGCCATAGAGTCTGGACCCCTGTGATCCTGAATGGGATAAGTGGTTACGGAAAATGGATGGACATACAAGACCTGCTTATGCCTTCAGTACAGCCTGGACTCTTTGAGAGATGGGTTCAACATGGTGCTGAAAGCATTCACCATGATTCATGCTGACTCAATAGCATGTTTTGTTGGGTTGAGATATGTACGTAAACTTCTGTAGGCAATTTTGGAGTGAACTCAACTCGCTGTCACATTCCTGGAACCAGTCCATTTTGGTAATCACCTGATCAAGAAAACTTCATCCCAGAAGTGAACTCTTCCTCAGGGTTTGAAGATTTTGCATTGAGAAATGCTTTTCAAAGGTCTTTGCCAACAGAACTTATCACACCCTCCTCTCTAATCTAACACTGTAGTATGTGAAAATCCTAGGAGAGTTCCTGTTTCGGAGATTTGGGAACCATTGCATCTAACCCCAACAATCAAAAACATAATGATATACTACTATATTACATTGTATGTTTTGTTGGTGTTCTTTGAGCACTGTAATATGCATTTACTACAACACCAGTACAATGAGACACCTAGAAAAAATTAAATCCAAATGGCTTTATTAATATTGATTGATATAGATTTATATATAATTATCATCATTGCTTGGATTATCACTTTTTTTTCTTCTGCTTAAATTTAAATGACAGGACATAACGAACAAGCATTCCACATGATACATTACAAAAGATAGAGAAAAAAACAAATTTGTGAATTTTCGTTATACACACACATAAATGATACTTTTTTTGTTTTTTTTTTGAGTATAAATAAGATAATGATGGGAATGATAGCATATTCTGAGAAGGAAGGATAAGCACACAAAGACAAAGAACAATTCATAAATGTTTTTTACATATCAAAGCAATTTGTTGCATAGTTAAAAGCAAACAGGACAGACCTTTTGGCATGGTGATGAATTGCATTTACAAAAGGACAACATTTAGTTTGAGTATACTTTTGTAAGTTGAGACACACACTGACTGTAAATGCTGCTTTAAGAACTGCCTATGTCTAATTACTGCTTACTCAAAAATAGTTCAATATCCAGCTATAGGAAGAGCATTGTAGTCAATAATTAAAAGACATTTTTAAAAAGCATTAATTCTGTCAATCAAATTTGACATTTAGGGGGCTACCTATATATCCAGCAACTAGAAAATGCAATGTTGTAAAACTATTTTCCCTTGGCTTGTCACTGGAATATTCAAATTAGAATAAAATGGTTACAAAAGAAAAAAACTCATTGTGAAATTAAAATTTCTTCAATGGCATACTCATTCACTTCCCACTGTTTTTCAAATGATGAAGACTGCACGATCACTGTGATTTATAGTCTTTTCTCACACTGACTATTAAAATTAAATGAGAAGTATTTAAGACGGGTTTGATTACTAACTGGTTACTAACATGTTCTCTTTATTAAGATATCTACATCTGAGGATGACAGTTTTATCCTGGCAGTTCTAATGCTACCAGTGTCAAGTTCAATCCTTAACATAGCTTATTTACCCTTTATACGGGTACATATATTACTAAAGCACCTTAATTATATTCCCTTTCAAGATCTTTAATCTATAACTTATAGGTCAAACAGCATTTTTTAACACCTAGATCAGTCTATGCCATATCAGACAGCTGGCAGTTCAAGCAACATCATCACATACATCTGGCATGGAAAGAAACACAGAATTGTATATTGTATGTTAACAGGGAGGGAACAATCCTTATTTTTCACTAGGTAAATCAAATGTCTTAAAATGCTAAAGCACTCAAACAAAATTTGAATCATACACATGGATGCCCCACTTATTTTTCCATACCTATGGCATCACTCTGCATTGGCAGTGATTGTAAACAGTGGACACAAACAGGAAAGCACAATAGCTTTTTGAAAGTTTCATTGTGTACATCAATACTCATCATAGTCACAAATAAGCTGTCACTTCAGATTAGGCCAGGAACCAATATGAAAGGCAGCTTTTTGTAAACCTTCATGTATATTTAAAAAAAAAAAAAGATTAAACAAGTGTTCTCCTAGTTTTGTATATCATATAGAGATATTTTGCACTTTTCAAAGGTTTTCATACATGCAATAACTACGTCAGGGACAATGTATCTTTATAAGTTTAATGTGTGGATAATCTTTTATCCACAAAAAATCTTTTGTTAGGGTTATTTACATCATTTAAAGCATTTTAGTAAATCTGTAAATAACTATGGTTTAATGTTATGATAGAAAGTAATATAACTGTTATAACCTTTGCCAAGCGGACTTATACTCACACCAACTTTAGAACAATTATTTAAAGCAGGGATTCTCAACACATGGGTCACAACCAAAATTTGGGTCTCGGCAAGTTATGAAAGGGTTGCAAGCAGAGTTGGAAAAGTAAGCATTTTAAAACCAGCAAAATCCTATGCTGATCCACGATCAGATTTCCCAGTCCCAATCCTAGGACTAACCTTCAGAAATGGGTCTTGGGTCTGCAAATGGTTAGAGCAAAACTAGTGAACATTCAACCAATCCAAGAAACCAAACCACAGATGCTTAATTTAAAATTCCATAGCACATCCAATCATAATTGTGCGATAGGCATTGATTGGCATAAATTGCAGAGTGCACTGCGTGCTTGATCATAAGGTTAATTTAAACCTACAGTATACCTGATATAGGGCCACGACTGAGCTGGCATGGTAAAAACTGAGTAGCAGTGCAAAAAAGGTTGAGAACCACTAATTTACAGCCTACATCCAATTCTGTAACTTGTAAAGCATCTGGCTTTGAAAATCCGTCTATGAAACTTAGCAAATACTTTCTATGCAAACTACATGTTATTGAGAGGTTAAGGGTAATAAAATAATCGTATGTAAAATACGTAATCTGTAACCCATCACTAGATTTTGTTTAAAAGGAATGTTTTGAAAGCAAATATACTACAGAACTATGATGCCTACTTCTATGAAAATTAATTTTAGACACAATAATATAAATGAATACAAACACTGTTCCCTGCAACCAGAAAAAATGATAATTGACAGCAGCTCTAAGAAGAGTTTAAGGAAGAAGGAATGGAATTTTAGCAAAGAAATGTACAAAACAAGCATCTCTACAGAGAACATTTTAAAAGGAAAGCTTTAAACTTTACTTGCTCTTTTAAAATTGGATGCAGCTGCCAACTCCCATACAGCATCTTGGCAGTGTGGGTTTCTCCCGAGCAGGGAATAGCTCTCTGTCTGTGCGTCTGGAATGCACAGTCTACAAGGAGGAGGCTGTACAAAGCCTGCCTGTTAATCAGATGAATGTGTGCATCTCAGAAGATGGACGAGCCCATCCATTTTGCAGGTTTTCCTTTAATTAAGAAATTTAGTAGACATTTCAGTTGTCATCATATCTCAGACAACATTTGGCATTAAATCTTTGAAACAAAGATTTAAATCCCACTAAAACTTCCAAAAAAACATATCTTCAAGTTGCCATGTAAAATTAAAAGCTTCAAAACAGACCTTGTTAGAAGGTATCCCTATATAAAACTATACCTAAAGTGTACTTATGTACATGTGTACATCTCTTTGTTGCGTCTCACTCCATAGCAAACATTTAACACAGACAGACAGTGAGTGTGTATCTGTATATTTACACACGCACGCATGCACACACACATTCACATACACAGAGAGAGCTCTGGAAAAAATTAAGAGACCAAAGCAACATTTTTAGTTTCACTCATTTCTCAATTTATGGGTATGCTTCTGTGTAAAATTTTATGAGAATTTAACAATGCAAATAAAAAAAAAAAAACAATGGAGTGGTGTCAATTTGTTCTAGAGTTGTGTGTGTGTGTGTGTGTGTGTATACACATTTGGGTAGTAACAGTACACGGTATATTATCATATTATTAAACTGTCTGGTACGCCCCGACGGTTCAATACACACACATTAACCGTGGTATTACTATATGCCTGTCATTTTCCTACATGTATTGTCGCAAATGTAAGACGTTTTTTTTTCCCCAAAAATACTAATAAAAAGTGGGGTCATCTTCCTCCTGGCTAAAGGTAGCTGTATATTCATATTCTATGTCATTTCAGCAATACAACGTTGTATGAGCAATGATCTCACCCATTGTTGACAAATGGCTGACACAAAGTAATGCCGTGGGGTTGGTCAGCAGCCTGCATACTTTGTACAGAACTGCACTACTTTTTAAATGATGTATATTAAAGTGTGTATTTGTGTTAATTGCAAATGTCTTAACTGTGTAATATTTGCTGTGGAATGTGTGCATTTTGTTAGCGTGTAATCGTGTCATGTAAACTCTTGGTTTCCTTGTTGTGCCATTGCTATTACTAAGCCTGTTAATACAGTATTTTGTTTTAAAACAGCTGTCATCTTCTTTATTATAATTACTCAACAACTCGGAGCAATATTTTTTTTTTGTCCTCTTTATGTGGGTGTACCATATCAAAAACACACGCTCTCTTGGGTTGTGGAGTAATATTGATTATCCATCTACACTTACTGTGTTGCAACTGCTTGTGTTTGCTTTTTAACAGTGACACATTTAGCTTCATATAAATTCTCTTCAAATAAAAAGTACTTACAGATTATTAAAGTTTAGAAGCACTTATAATTTTAATGCTTTTCTCTCCTTAATTTTATACAGTACAGACACAAACTGTGCCTAGTTAGTCATGCTGCCATTTTTCTGAATGAAGAGTTGTTATATTGAAACAGAGTTCACTGTTTAATTAAATTAATTAGGGTGATGTGTTTTTATTTTCTTCATAAATATAAAGATAAAGATAAATACAAAGATTCCGAAACCGAACTGTTACCATGGTCCTAAAACCGTGACACATACTGAACGGTTACACCCCTAATATACATGTGTGTGTGTATACACACACACACACAAACACACAAAATATATTGTATATTAACCAGTTAGTCCTTTCTAGTTTTCTTTTTCCCCCCCAAAAAAGTTTTTTTTAATATATACATAGCATGGTATAGGCAACACAGGACACTAAAACACCAATTGCACCAGGTGTATATATTGCTTTGACCCATCAAATTTTTATCATGCATGCCACACAAATGATATAAGATTTAAACAAACACCAGTGCTTATTATTTCTTATAAATCACTAAAATGTTCTGACTGCTAAGTTATCCTTTTTTTCCCCCACAAGAAACATTATGTTAAAATATATTTTAAACAGGATGTAAATTATGCCAACCTGTTTTAAGTAAATATGAATTAAACAACGGATTTTTGATTTTAAATTATGATATTATTTACAGCCGTTGCATCTTGTTCCCCAGTATGCCACCAAATTCAATAAAAATTGGGAAATTTAAAAAAAAATAAAAGATCAGCAGAGTCATGCTCTGAACAGAAATTTAGCTCTTATATGTAACCATCATTCAATAGTTATTGCAGAACACCTTTAAGCATTTTTATACAATAGAGAGAACTATTATCTGTGCGAAAAAGTGTAACAGCTGTCAAGGGCATCTAAGCAGACCAAACAATACCTTGCTTTCACCATAGTTTACTTATTTGACTGTTGCGCATCTTTCCTGAAAAGTAACTCCTGTTATACTGTCCACCTAGTGGGGATTACAAATAAAGAAATTATTTAAACAATGATATTTGAAGGGCAATCAAGTCAAAACAGATCACAGCAGCGCATTGAAAACCTTTAAAAAGGAGGCCTTTAAACAAGATTATATCAACAACACTTCAACAATGCAAACAATAAAGGGAGCACAAGTAATATTAGTATATATAGCAATTTGTTAGAGAAAATGGAAAAAGAAAGCTTTGACTGTACACAACACTTTGGCAGAACATTCCTAAAGCTTTGCTGGTGGTCCCTGACATTTGATTACTCACAATTTACCTGCAAATCACAATCGCTTTCATTATTTACAGTAAGTTGGATGTGCAAGAGTCATTTTGAAAAGTTTTGCGTATCTAAGGCTTTCATAGAACTATAAGCTAGTTTCTGTTTCAAATGGCCCACTGAATAACATCTCTAACGCCTGTAACTGTAATCACCAAATGGATTCTTGTGTGCTTTACACCCTCTTATGGCAGTAACACTTTACTTTCAAAGTACATCAGTGAAAAACTGCCTTGGTGTTCTCTCATTTAAAATGTATTTTCTAGGAATATTTAATAATTGGCAACATCAAAGATTTTTTTGCTAAACAAGGTAACAAAAACAGTAATCTGAAGCACCATTCCTCTTACTCAGTAAATTATACCTGCTGATAATTCAATCATAACAGAAAAATATAGAATATATATATATAAAAATACTTCAAAAGTATTCCATATTGATGAAGTTCTGTTTCTTGCTTTATATTCCATTGATAACTACTCACTAATGTATTGCAGAAAAAGAAAATCAGTAACGTTTCTATGAAAGTAATATATATCGCACATATACTTTATAGTAGGAAGTTGGTGCAATAGCAACATAAATAAAGATTAATATAGTACTGCAAGTTATGCAGTCATAGTATACTTGTTGGATGGTGCTAATTCAAGAAATCTGCCCAGTGTCATGTCAAATGGGGTAAACATCAAGAACAGTTTCAAACCATAGGGTAATATGCTAAATTTATTTTTTTTTGGTATTCCTCATTTATCTCATTTATTAAATGTGACCTAAGCTTTGTGTGTATGTATGTGTATATGAGAGAGAATATTATTAAAAATACTAAATATAAAAATACAGAACATTTTTAAACGGTTAATTTGTTTATATGAAATCCAAGAGGTTTCGCAAAAATTGCACAAAAAAAATAAAAAATAAAAAGACAAAAATCTTTTCTCAACATGTTCTTAGAGAAGTCAATCATTACATTTTGCTTTGTCTGAAAAACAACAGTGATCCATCTGAGGGCAGTGAAACAATTTTTGTTTTGGCCGGCTTGGAAGATGAGAAAGAAGAAATCTAAGTGAATGGGATACAAATTAATTTGAAAATATGGCTAATGACTAAATAGTACAGTAGTAGTAGTTTTCACAGAACAATAGGTAGATAAAAAGCATGGTTTAAACATGGCAGTGCTGCAGTATTGGTAACCATAAGAAAACATCATTCAGGAACATTTTCATCAAACCAGGAGACCAGAGTATTTATGCAGCTGTTGGCTAACAGAAGAGTTACAGGACTGAACAAAGATCATTTGTTGCATACGAATGCTTGGTAAGTATTACTTAAATTTACATTTAACCATGCACAGGTGTGCTATATCATTAGGCTTCTTATGGTATGTTTCATAGTGGTGATAGTGTGTGTTTATTCAGTTCTTATGTCATTTCTTTTTCTAAATAAAAGGATTCTTTACATCAGGAATTAAAAATTGCAATACATCATTTACAGGCCCTGAACAGAAATATTTTAGCACAATTTTATTCCAAGGTAAAATGTGCCATTTTACTTTCTCCCTAAATTAAAAGGCATGAAAGAGTAAGTTCTATCATGAATAAATAATATTTAATATTATATTCATCTAGATAAATTGTTGCAAGCAGACAACGTGTTTGTGATAGACTATAAATCTCCATGACAAACATGAATTCATACTGGATTTTTCACTAGTCTATATCCTGACTTAGTATTTTGGAGGATTTATTTGAACCTTACCTTAACTTTAAGCTGCAGATTGGTGCTCATTGACTTTGAACTGTTATGGACATTTATTTATATACTTACTGACTGACTTATTCACTTGAAGGAGTAGCACAGCTAGAGACTCATTCTTGTCTTAACACAAATAAAATTACATAAATGTTTCAGTGACAGAACTATTGAATAACAGCACCTAATTGTATAGCACATACCTGCCAATTAGCATTATGGTTTACTGTGAAATATAAAGACATATGCATGCACAATATATACACATACATACATATACACATGTAATTATTTAGGTTTATGTATGCATATAGTATATACGTGAATACAAAAATCTAAAAACACATTTTACTAGGTAGAAAAAAATGTGTAGAAAAAAAGTTTTAGGTAAAAACAAAAACAAAATAAATAGATTATACGAGAAATAAAATAAAGACAGGAATGGAGTTTGTGTGGTGTTTGGGTGAGGTGGAAGATGCAGCCCAAGATGACATTCCCACCTCTTAGTGTACACTGTGTAATGCAACCACCAGTACTTACAGTATACACACTCTGGGGGAGGGGGGGTCTTTGCCTGCTTCATAGAGGAAAGTGTCGCAGACAGTTGGTTGCTGCAGAATGTCCAAAAGTCCACTAGAGAGATTTTCTGAATGCGGTGTCCAAGACGTAGAATAGGGATCAGGATTACTAGAGTGTTGGTGGCAGTGGAACAGACCAGAAAACTACAGAGGTGGTTAGAGGAAGTTTTGTCTTTCTTTAGAGAAACTGGGGAGAGTCTCAATCTCAGCTTCAGCAGTGCTCTCCTCAACTACAGGGACTGTAACCGCCTCTTCAGATATTGGGACAAACTCTGGATGGGACATGAAGTTATGGATGGAACTTTTGGATTCTGGTTTCTTGAGACCTTCATAAAGGGAACTACGGAATGCATTAACCACTTTAATCTGTGGCCGGTTGCATCCGCAGATAGGTGGAATTCGTAGTATATGGAGAGAAAAAGAGAAAAAGGCAAAATTAGTATCAGATGATTTTTACAGTTTTACTGTGTACTTTGCTTTGCAATGAGGGGTGGGTTGCTATATCTGCAGAAAAAGAATGACCAATTGCTGTAAATGACTACAATCACTGTAGCCTTGGTTATACTTGCATTTTTTAGAAAGCAACACACAGTACAACACACTGAAAAATCAGGAAAAACTAAAATGTAACCATAAAATGTGCACCATGATTGAAAAAGGTATTGCTGGAAAAAAAGTGAAATGCAAGGAAAAATAAACCAATCAAATGAAATATGTTAAGAAAACAAAACATCCCAGGACCATGTGAAAATTAAGTGTGAATTACATTTTGGATCACTATATCTTGCATAAATTAATACATGAACACCCCGTGCAAAAACATTCTCACTACTTTTAAAGGCAACATCTTTTCTTTACCTGTCTAGAAAGAAAGCCATCAAAGTGCGTAAAAATACACAATTCTCTGGCTATTGGAGTCAACATAAACATACAGAGAGAGGAAAAAGACGGGTGAAAGGGAATGACATTGTTTTAAAAAAAAAAAAAAAAACGTGTGGCACACCATTACATACACATTAAATTAGAGTGACAATAGTACAAATACAAAATGCCAACTTTTAGATCCAATTAACTCAGTCTCTGTGGTGCCACAACTTGTCAGACACATCACTCATCTGAGTGATGTGTCTGACAAACTTTCAGTTCCTACCAGTGTAGGCATCAGGTACCAGCACACACTTAGAAATTGTACCTCTTGCAAAACAGCATGTACAGAATACATTTACACTGTATATTAACTATGAAGGATGCCTTGTAACACACTTACCTGTTTGCCTAAATGGAGAGGAACAAAAACAACATTCATAGAATGTGGAAGTATCAACAGGAAGGTTGTAAATGAAAATAAAAACAGAAAATGACATTTATATTTGAAAAAAGGAAAGATTTTTTTAGCAGCATTGCTGAAAAGATATTGCCTTTAGCCTTACGAATCTCATTGTCCCCAATGATTTGTGCAAACAACAAATAAACCAGCCGGAAATGGTGAATGATACCATTTAAAGGGGCGTGTGTGGACCTTCAAGACAGTGACAGATAGTGGTAGATCAGTAACAAATGCTTTTGCATTTTGAATACTTAAACAAAACTTACAGATTCAGTTCACTTAAATTATTTTCAATATAAATTTGTTGTAAGGTACATTGCAGTAATTCTCACTGATTTTCCTGAAAAATAGTTTGTTTAAGGGCTGCATTAATATATAACCAAGCACAGAACACTCTCAAAGGGGACTGTATGTGCCGAAAAGGACATTCTTCTCAGTTCCATCAGAGTTCCATCACAACTACAAGTATGAGGCATCATTGTTTGTTCGTTTGAGATTTACGTTCTTATTTCCATTTGTATTTTATTCTAATTCAAGAATAACAATCTTGCTCAAAACTATTTCGATATGAAGCCAGAAATTAGTTGTCAGTCCTTCTGTATAAATACCAGACACGCCCCCAAACAGACATATATAAACACAATGAGGGAGAAGGAAAAAAAAAAAAAACAGCAGACATACAGGCACTTGCAAGTCCTAACATTGAAAAGCAAATGGAGCAATGCCCAATCCTCAGTATTATTCCATACATTTTATGTCATAGAAACTGATATATCTACAACCTCATTTAAAAAAAAAAGTTCGGTCACTGTGTGAAATGTAAATAAAAACAGAAAGGAATGATTTGTAAATCATATAAACCCATATTTAATTGAAAATAGAACTAAGACAACATATCAAATGTTGAAACTGAGAAATACATGCTCAATTCGAATTGGATGCCAGCAACACATTTCAAAAAAGCTGGGACAGGGACAATAAAAGACTGGAAAAGATGTGTAATGCTAAAACAAAACACCTGGTTGAATATCTCACAACTAATTAGGTTCACTGGCAACAGGTCAGTCATCTCTGTGCAGTGAAGGTTCACCACTCTGTGAAAGGCAAATAGTGCAACATTTTAAGAACAATGTAGTTTATGCTGTCCTCTACCCCAACGCCTTGCTGAAGTCGACAGCTAGAATAACTCCTCTCCAAATACCACGCAGACAAGTGATCCCAAGTTCACTCTTTATCGTAGCCATTTGAAGTAGGGTAAAACTAAAAAATAAACATATGACGCCATTAGAAGCAAATAAACAATGATTAGTTTTCACCTTTACATTACTGATAATTTACATTCACCAAGATTTTCCTAATTAGTTCCTTTTAGAAACATTCACGTCAAACGCTTTTGGGTAATGCTTCTAATTAACATAAATATGCATTGTAAAGTAAATGACATACCAACGGTGCCTCCTAAAACTGGCATGAAAATTAGAGTAGTTGAAAATGTGGGAGACAACAATGCTGGCTCATCCGAACAACCGAGGATGCTTGCTGATGACATCATTAAAGACAGATACCAACAGACATGGCTGCCAATCCCCAAACTACCAGTAGATGGCATCAAAGATCAACACATCTGCAATTCTACCCCACTACCAAATAAATGGTTACAGAACATACTTAGTATTGCAAAGAATTTGGAATTTTCATAATCTGTAGTACATAATATTATGAAAAGATTAAGAGAATCGCAAGGGGCAAGGCCAAAAACAAATATTGGATAGCAGTGATTATCAGATCCTCAACTTGTTTCTAGAGTGGAAATCACTGCATGGACCCAGGAACACTACTAAAAACCACTGTCTGTATCCAAAAATGCAGGATGAAACTATCATGCAAAGAAACCATACCTAAACATCATCCAGAAATGCTGCTGACTTGTCTTGGACCGAGCACATTTAAGATGAACAGAGGCAAAATGGAAAACTGTCCTGACAGATCCAAATTTCAAATACATTTTGGAAGTCATAGACGCTGTATCCTCCCAACTAATGAGGAATGGGACCATTCAGCTTATTATCAGCAGACAGTTCAAAACCCAGCTGCTGTGATGGTATGGGGGTGCAATAGTGCCCATAGCTTGGGTAGCTTGCACATCTGGTAAGACACCATTAATGCTGTATGATATATACAGGTATTGGAGCAACATATACTAACACCCAGACAGCGTCTTTTTCTGAGAAGGCCTTGTATATTTCAGCAAGACAATGTCAAACTGCATTCTGTGCATATTACAACAGCATGCTCCGCAATATAAAAGTCCGGGTGCCAGACTGGCCTGCCTGCAGTCCAGACCTGTCACGCACTGAAAACATTTGGCACATCATGAAATACGACAAAGGAGACTCCGTATTGTTGAGCTGTTGAAATCCTGTATCACTCAAGATGGGACATTTCACTTTCAAACCTCCAGCAACATTTACAGAGTGTTGTTAAAAGAAGAGGTGATATATTTGTCATAAAACAATAAAATTTGTTTCAAAATTTGATATGCTGTCTTTGTTCTATTTTCAGTTAAATATGAGTTTATATGATTTGCAAATCATTGCACTCTGTTTTTATTTAGACAGTATGGCTTTTTTGGAAACAGGGTTGTATTTCATATTCTTTGTGTAAATGCTTACTGCTTTTAAAAAGTTTTGATTTACAGTTTTTTGGAAGTGCTTGCCAACTCCATGGAAAAGCGGGCTGTGAAAAAAATACTATTGACATTTCAAAATGACATGTCAGCTTATATTAAGGCAAACAACTGGTTCTCCTGAGGGGGGCAGCATTTGTATCCAGTTTTGACTCATCCAGTTGCATGCTACGGAGGACAGAGATACTTTGCAGTATCACTCACAACACAATACTGTTGAGGAAGTCACACAGAGTGGAAGGAGCTGGAGGTGGAGGAGGAGGAAAATATATGATCTGACTGCCTTTGGTGGGAGATTATTGCAGGGGAAATAAAGAAAGCCATAAGAATGTGGGCCTCTAGCTCAGTGAGAAAGACCAGCATGTTGGAGAAACACCTACACTATCCTTAGAGGGATCTTACTTGAGAAAATCTTTTAGTTGTTTGGATTTTTTTTTTTTTTTTTACAATGAGTCATACAAATTCATCTGAAAGGTACTGTTTTTATGGGAGTTATCTCTACCTCAGCAGCCATAGAGTGTCACCTGAAGGGCAATCTACTATTACTCATCTGGGGTAGCACCAGACATCTGGTTTCTAATGCCTGTTGCATCTCCATTAACCAAACTAGGCATTGTCATACCTAGTTTGGCATATCTGTCATGTGCAACCTCTGAAAATGCCAGCAATATTAAAAATGAAAATTCTCCTCTAGAAAAAATACATTTGAAATGATTACATAAGACAAAATGAAAAATGGTAACACAATAAACTCAATGGTTGAAAAGTAACAGAAGTGTACGCCATTACAGCAGTGGCAATTAGATGTGGAAAACTTCCCTATGTCTCCAAGTCTTCCAAAACATAACATGATAATGACAACATCATTATTTCTTGCATTTTGGGAACTTTCCGATTTAATTTACATGCTGACTTATTCTTGGTGCCTAAAATGAAATGATACATAAACACTGCTTTCAGTACCCCTAACCAGAAGCCCATCTGCCCTTGAAATATTTTTTCAGCATTAGTTTTCAAAGCTAAGACACAAAACTCACATGAGTATGTGATAAAGATGTTTTCAATAAAGTAAAAAAAAAAAAACACAATCAAGAGGTGAGGTGCAGAATGTATCTGCCAGACTCCAACCAAATAGAATGGGGAGAGGAAGGACAGGGACAAAAAGGCAGAGACAGAATGATGGAATTGGCTAAACTTAACTCAGACTGTGTCAGGTGGTTGGGCTCCAACATCATTCATTCAGCAGACAAAGCATATGAAGAAGACTGGAATTCTGATGCCCCAGAGTAAATTTGAAGTTGATTAATAAATATAATATTACTCCTTTGCAGGGGTAGAAGTGTAAATTTTACTGTGAAAGCTTTGCATATATATGCCTTTTTAAAAGCATCGCATTTTTTTCTGATTTCCCATCTGTCAAAGCTATTAATGCTATTACACAGACCATTTGCATTACTGAAGGATATATGCTGAGGTATAGGGGTTCAATATACTGTGTATACATGTTCACATAACTGCACAACTTCTTTTGAAAAGGCAGGATAAGGAACAGAATGTAAAGAGAGTAAATGCCATTAATGGGAGCAGATACATGAGTGGAGGAGGGGGACTTCACTGAAATCAAGTGTGTGAAAGAGAGGTGTTTCCAGCAGCTGCCAGCTCTCCATGAAGTCTGAGACTTCAAAGTGAACATCTCTCTCAAGGCTCTGTTAGCAGGCAGAGCAGCAGCAGCCGTTTTCAGGACAAAGGGACAGGCAGCATACTGTCCAAGCAGGGGCTCTATACACAGCACAAACAAGGTCACTCGCAGTTGTAATGGCAAACACTCTAGCTTCTTTTCTTTCTGCCTTTGTTAAATGTCAGTACACTGGATTCTGCTTAATCAATGGTTTACCATGTTAAGCAAATCAGTTTGAGAAGAGGGAAAGTGTAACAAACCCACACACATAAATACATACGTAAGCACATAAAAAATGTAGGCACCCTCAGCTATTAACCCTTAAACGATACCTTTATCAAATTTGGCCCAAAAACAGCCAGAACCAACAGCAATATTTTTTAATCAATTAAGACAATAACAGTTGAGTTCAAATCAATGATGCTTTGCAAACTGAATATTGTTCAGTATATCCTTAAGATTCACATAAGGGTTAAACTATGAAGTGGGTGTTTAGCCAGCAATATTTAGAGAAGAATGCCAAGCTGGAAAAGGAAAAGTTTCTTTGCATAACAGCAGAGGAAAGGACATTTGGAGAATGGGAGAATGAGACAATAAAAAGAGGAGTGATTATTATCAGTGAGTATTGCCCATGAAGTCATTTATTACATGCAGCACTGGTTGTAGAGAGGCTGCACACTCACTGCCTGCAGCAGAAGAGGAAGCGGAGGCAGAGGTGGGCGGAGCAGCCATGGCAGAATTGGCAGACAACGAGGAAGAGGAAATCCCTACATGGGTGGGACTAGAAACAGTTTTTGCGTCGTTGTGCTGGCTGACCACTGAGGGCTGCCGGCGCAGGGCCCCCGGCACTGCAGTTTGGCCCATCTGGAATGTATAAACCACGTCCATCTGCAAAGAACAGCAAGAGTCAGAGATTGAGGGTGTAGTGTAAGAGGGAGCAACTGGTAAAGAGAGAAAGTGAGAAGAGAGAGAGAGAGAAAGTGAGCGTAAAACAGAGACAGGAGAAAGACCAAAATTCAGTGCAAGATGGAACAGACTTTGGGCAGGTTGATTGAGAAAAAAAGAGAACAGCATTAGAGAGACTCAGGGTGATTTAAAAGGCAAGACAATAAGGGAAATAGCTTTGAGAAAAAAGAGGAGAATCTGACATTAAGTGGGGAGAAAAAGTTGCTGAGATGAGGCCTTGGTTCCTATTGGCTATACCCGGTTTATTTATTTATTTCTTTTTACTGTGACTCCCCATGTATAATGCAAAACCACAGGGTGGCAAAGAGCTAAGTACTACCATGACTACTTTGTGGCCAGCTCTTGGGATTGGAGGAAAAAGTATGAATGTGATGTGTAGCTCGGTGGTTAGGGATCTGTGTTCATGACTGGAAGTTGCAAATTCAAGTCCTGTGGCCAGCAGAGAATTTATATCACTACTAATCCCTTGGGCAAGGCCTCTAACTCCTACTACTCCAGGGATTTGACTCTATATTTTAGAGAAGAGGATATGACGAAAATGGGAATGATACAGCAAAAGGACAATAAAATCAAATGGAGCTAAGACTTGAGGAAAAACCCATTAGTGGACATTAAACAGTAGGATCACAATTAGACAACGAGTGACATTTTTGTAATCTACAGAGCTGCTGCCTATCTGAATTCAAAGTTACTCTGACATGAATAGGAAAGATACGTTTTAATCATATTTAATCAGTAAAAATTGATTGCACAACAAAAAACAAGATGTTTAAACAAGAAATTCAAAGATGGTCTGCGATCAAAATTAGAGAAGTATAGGTTATGCTTTCAGTTTTCATTTCTAATCTGAAATATTTTGAAATGTCTGGCAGCCCCAAACTATTTAGAAAGGCAATCTATTTGGCAGGCATTCTGCGAGATAATGGGCCTTTCCAAGGTGACTGAAACCCTGTGACATCAGGTTGTTCAGATGAAGGCTGACACGCCATTTCTGTACAACTCAATAGACCTTGTCACACTACAAAACAGCTAAATCAATTCCTTAAAAGTGAGAACATCAAGCTTATGAAATGGCCGACCAATTTCCTGATTGGAACCCTATCAAAAAAATATCTGGAAGGTAATTGGCAACTAAGTTATGGCAAACAAACCTACTAGTTAATAAATTGTAGAAGAAACTGGGTGACGAGTGGAACAAAATCAAATCAGAGCAGCGTGAGAAATTAGTTGTGTCCTATGGATGCTGATGTGCCAAAGTCAATGAAAGCAAGACCCTTAATTTATAAAAATTGTAAACATCAAAAAAGTTGACAAAATCCATTTGTGTACTTCTGCAGTAAAATTATAACCGTACGCAAATTCTCCAAATTTCTTGTATAAACCTTTTATTTTGTGATATGGATAACTTTCACTGATTAAATATGATTAAAATACATCTGTTCATTCAGAATAACTTTGAATTTGGATAAGCAGCAATATTGTAAGACTACACAACTGTCACTTGTTCCTTAATTATGATCGCTATGGTAGGGGATGACAGACTGCAATCCACAACAACAGAATAATAAAAAAAACACAATAAATACAAAAGTAATTTTTTCATTAATTGGTAAACAAATTGGTAGCAACAGAAAAAGGAGATAATATCTGGTATTTAAGCAGATCTTGCTCGCGGGAAGCTCTTGTTGATTGAAGAACTGAAGGCACAAGTGACACTTGTTGGGAAGAGGTCACTGATGAATTCATGGCTAAGATCACGGTAAATTTAAGCCTGTGGAAATGTACTTTTTAAAATGGTCAAATGTCTAAACTTCCATAGTAGCCTAATTACAACATAAGGGATTTTTTTGTGCTTTTAGTTAATACTGTATAAAAATGAGAAATAAAAGTACACACAGGGATTGTAAACTTTTCAAAATCCTGCATAAGTGAAAAAACATGCCTGAAATTTTCTCTTATCTGTGCATTATATAGAAATATATTTCAATCTAATTATTAATAAATTAAATAACAGCATTATAATGGTTGTTTCGTCAGTTTGCTGTGACCTTACAGGTGTCTTTTACCTAGAATATGCAAATCAATTGGAATTAATAGAGCATAACATGGATCCAGCTGGGATCTGCAAAACTAAGATAAACGCTTCATAAAACCCATAAGTAGACCAAAAAATAGATCACAATATACTGATACATAAAAGAATTCTGCATGAACTGTATCCAGAATACATTAATTTCAGAAACTAAATAGTTTATTGGAACGCTAGGCTTCAAGTGAGAAACTCAGTTAAAGGTGCATTATACTTACTAAAACATTCTTAGCCATACTTAAAGTACATACCAAAGAATCATGAATAAATATAACAATAAATATTATTATATTTTTATTTATAAATATATAAATGCAGACAGCATGTTTTGAAAAAATATGTTCAGTTTATGTTATATGATTGAAACATACATTCTAAAGGGACACTCCCATAACTCTCCTTGAGAAAACAAAAAAATGGTGGTTAGATTTTTACAATCCCTGCTTGTTTCAAAACTCCAAGAACAAAGATGAGAAGTAAGAAATTCTGTGCGCAGAAATGGTTCATTCACCCAAATTTTGCCATTTGTTTTACAATACAAACAGATCCATATGTGTGGTACAGGCAACTGTATATCTCAATGCATGTGAAAATAAGCAGAAATAAGAAATTGGTCCTTGTTTTTTCTCAGATCTTTTTTACCTCCTGATACAATGTTTGTATCAGACCAAGAGTCTATTGAGGACACTATGAGGGCAAACTGTTCTACTTGTCCAAACAACTTTCTTCTTTACAGAAAATTACAATAACTAACAATGCAAAGATTTATCTGAAAAACAGATCAGCTGTCACAGAACAACCAGAATGTTCCCATGGCAGTATTTCCTAGACAATGGGACAGACAGGCTTTGGCCAGTAAAGGACAGAACACAAGCTCCAGCTAACGCCTCAGCAAGATACAAAGGAGGCATCGAAACAGTGGGGGAATTCCACAGACATGCTCGGCAAGAGCCTAAGATGGATTTTACCTGAGTCTGGATACGGTTCAGACCACGAAACCATAGAATCTGCCCGCGGCGGAGCTCCATCTCAGCATGATCGATCTCATCCACCCCCTCTGTCAGCTCCTCTTCCGGGATCTCCTCCTTGGGGATACCATGACCAGCTTCCTTCAAAAACTTCAATCGGTGCGTTGGGATGGCAGAGATGAACTGTGAAGAGAAAGGAAGATCACTGGAATCCTGAGCTTCATTCTCCTACTGCTATGTAGAAAAGAACTATGACTAACTGTAAAGTTTTTTGCACTTTTGTTACACAGTATTTTCAATAGTATGTGTATAACTTGATATCCATCTTTGGAGAAGTCCGGACATAACTTTGGGTTTTATTGGGGTTTGTTGCTGGTTTTCTGCTCTTTTGTTTCGGCTGAAAAATTACCTTCACTGATAAAAAGATGCCAAACAATCAGCTAATAACATAATCTTGGTAATCTGGAGGTATTCTCACAAAATCATTTTGAAGGTCTTATGCATTTTTGGGACAGCTGTTCTGTCCAGCTGTACATCATTTTGTCTAATAACTAATATTGACTGCTTTCACAGCTAATTACAGAGATAGAGGCTGACAGACACAGTTGACCAAGGGCAGGGCAGGGGTTGTAAGCAGACAGAGCTTATAGGTGAACAGAGCCTGCTGGCTACCATGTGAACATGTTAACACTGTACCACCCGATGCACAGAGACTTGCGCTCATTGTCAAAGTGAAGCTAAAGCTGGGCAATTTTTAGCATTTTAGATATTAACATATTACATCAATGTAAAACTTTCATTTTACAGCTCTGCAGAGGACAGCACCTGATAAGTGAACAAATTTACACTCAACAACCAATTTTTAAATGTCTGCTTTCACAAGACACACAGTGTAGGTGAGGATTAATTATAATATTGGAAATGGTGCCCTTGAGATCTAAAAATGCTACTGTTTTGAACTATAAATCATGAATCTCATACTACCATGCTATTCTCTTAAACCAGGGGTCACCAACTCCGGTCCTGGAGGGCTACTATCCAGTAGGTTTTCTATCCTACCTGGCTTCTGATGAGCCACACCTGCTCCTGGTATTTACTTGAGAACTAATGTGGCCCCTGTCTTAAACCATTGTGCTCACCTGACCCCAGAGCAACTCCCCCACACCAATGAAGATACACCACAACCACTGGTCAATTTTCAGGGCAGTGCATGAGAATGGCTTCCCTCCAAACTGCACAATGATGATCTGAAATACACAGCACAACAAGCAAGTCAGAAAAGTCAAACTTATCAAAATACAATAAAATGATAACACTGCAGATCAATGAAATGGTCATTTATTTTTTAGTGCTATATTTTAGGTTTTTTTGTCTTTGCTTTGACCCACTATTGGTCTGGATATTAAGAATAATAACATGGTACAATAAATAATATAATATAAAGGGCAGATACCTGCAGAAAAAATGTGCCTAGAACAACACTACAGAAGATTGGATTGCGATAAACACCCTCAAAGACATTCCTCTCGCCATGGATTTTACGGGCATTTATCTCATTGAACAGCTGCATCATGACAAAGACATTGAAGACAATAGTGTAATGTTCTGATGGTGGGGCATGAAGGGGAGAATTGCGTCCACTGTCAATGTCAAATAACTTCTCTCCTGTGGATGGAGAGGGATAAAAACGATTAAATGATAAGACAGAGGGCAATGTTTCCCAAGATTGAACATCCTATTAAATGTTTAAAAAAGAGCATTTTTAAACACATGCTTCCTCTGCTCCAGACAAACTTACTAAGCATGGTCAGGGAAAAAAAGCCATGTACTTTAATCATATGTCCTATGTCCTCCTTACCAGCAAAAAGCAGAGTGAAGATGATGGTCAGCTGGTAGACAGCATGGCCCAGGATATTCTTCATCATAGTCCGGGAGATGAGTGGCTTGTCACGACCATATGGCTTCCTTAGAAGTAGTGACTCTGTGGGAGGCTCTGTAGCCAGAGCCAGGGAGGCCAGGGTATCCATAATCAGGTTCACCCAGAGCATCTGCACTGCCTTCAGAGGGGAGTCCTAGACAAGACCATGTTTGAAGTAAACACTGTGCTTTAAGGCAACCGAAGCAGTTAGTTTCAAAACTGAATTGATGTTTCCTTCAAGAAGTCTCGTTGGCTTCATTACAAAATCCAAACCAGTTATAAGCCATTACAAAATCCAAGTTACTGAGCCAGTATTGATTTAGTTCTCTTGATATCAACAAAAGAAAAACAGCATAATTATCAGTTCCAAGAGAGATGCTACATTTATACCTTTGAGAATCAGAATTGTGTGCAAAGGAGCAGTACCTGGGTGATGCAGGCACCAGTGAAGGCTACAATGACTGCAACCACATTGACTGTAAGCTGAAACTGAAGGAACTTCGAGATACTGTCGTAGACATTGCGGCCCCACATGACTGCCTTGACGATGCTAGTAAAGTTGTCATCTGTCAGGATGATGTCTGAGGCCTCTTTTGCCACATCTGTACCAGCAATGCCCTGGAGGCAAATTTGTAATGACAATAATTTGTCATTGTAGCATTGAGCACAACACTGGTGATTCACTTATATACTTTAACATCCACTCTTGCAGATAGTAAGGAGCAGTAGGTTGTGTAATGATTAAAAAATAAGCCTTGTAATCAAATCAATCTCAGTTTCAAGTTCCCGTAGTGGTGTTACTGTTGACAAAAATATTTTATATGCATACATTTTTCAAAGATAAAATAACTTTACTTCGATAAAAGGGTTTGCTATGTAACTAAACAGAAATCCCCTTATACATAATGTAAATATTCATACCTTTTGTAAATAGTCATACTTTTGCAAGCAACAAACTGAATTTTGTAGAGCTCCTTTATCAAAAATTTCTCACATTTGGATTTATTTGAACCATTGGATATGCGGAAATCATGCAATACCCTTGAATTCCTTGCAATATAAATACTACTAATAATATTATTACCTGGGTACTCATCTACATTGTATTAAGGAACTATTTGATGTTTGGTGAAAATTGTTTTACCTCTGCATCCAAATAGAATTTCATGGAACTTTCATGGAATTTTACAAATTAGTCCTTGGTGTTTGATATACAACCTGAACAAAAATATTTAGATTTGACTTCTCCCTACTGTCATCACATAATATTCAGTATTAAATTCACTCATTGCTACCATGAAAGTTAATTTTGTTCTTATTTTTTTTTAGATTTTTTTAATCATTTGAGCAGCCTGTTATGACTACACCTCAAATATTCAATTTACTCAGTATAACTTATTTATATTATAATTATATAACTACTTCTTAGTTTATGCATTTCACTGTTTTGTTCTATTTTCTTGTCATTCCTTGTTTGTCTTATCTCTGCTTTGCTATTTAGTTAAAGTTGTTGTTTTATTACTTGGTCATATAATACAATAAAAAAATATTTATTGTAAGGGAATTTGTTGAGAATTACACTAACTGCACTACTAAACTGAGTCTATTCCATCTTACACAGGGAGCCCCCCACATAAACACTAATATGCTGTATATAGCATTAACATTAAGCACCAACTAATTGTGTTACTGTCAATGATTTTATTTGTTAAATACACATATTATTTATGTAATGGGAGAGCCCAGTGTCCTTTCTTTACACACCTTTACACTGTGCACCCTGCTGAGTTTTTTCCTACACTGTAACTCAATCCAATGCACACGGACATGCTGACTGATAGTGATTGAGCTGTAGGGTCCCCTACTAGCTAGGCAGAAGCTCAGTGAGCATGTGTTTCACACCGTTTGGTGAATGGACAGACTCAACAGCTCCCTGCAAAGAGCAGCAGGCTCTCAGTTCAGTGAAGTGGAAGGAATCAAATGTCAGAGATCCAGTAAAACTGTGGAACCACCTGGTAACCATAAATACCCAAAAATGTAATTTAATAACGACACAGGATTTTAAGATACCAATCTTACTTTAAAAAGTCCGTGTTGTTACTAGTTTTTGTCAAAAAACAACTTAACATGTTAACGTTAGTCAGATTTTTAAAAGTTATTCAGTTTATGCGTATGACACTGTGCAATAATAGTTAGAATTCAGTATTATTGTGCTGATGTGTATAAATAACTACTTAAGAAAAATTTACTTCCCATATTGACTACATTACTTTGTCATTTACACAAGTGAAAAAATTGATTGACTAACTGATAATTTAATATGCAACTATACGCAAACCGTCAGAAGTGATTCCAGGTTTAATATGAGCAGCCGTAGCATTAATGAAATGGAGTGTCATATAGGGTCTCACAATCCCATATAAGATAAGAACATAAGAAATTTACAAACGAAAGGAGGCCATTTGGCCCATCAAGCTTGTTTGGGGAGAACTTAACTAATAACTTAGAATTAAAATCTTATCTAGCTCTGATTTAAAGGAACTCAGGGTTTTAGCTTGCACTAGCAGGAAGACTATTCCATACTCTAACTACATGCTGTGTAAAGAAGTGTTTTCTGAAATTCAGTTTAAAATGTTCTCCTGCTAATTTCCACGTATGGCCATGAGTTCTAGTATTTATACTAATATTGAAGTAGCCATTTGACTGAACAGCATCGAGACCTGTTAGAACCTTATATACCTGTATCATGCCCCCCCTTAATTTCCTTTGCATGAGGCTGAACAGATTCAGCTCAGCTAACCTCTCCTCATTCCTCTAAGACCAAGAGTCATTCTTGTATCCCTACATTGAACCTTTTCCAAGGCAGCAATGTCCTTTTTAAGGTATGGTGACCAAACCTGCACACAATATTCTAGGTGGGGTCTTACTAAAGAATTGTATAATCGAAGCATCACCTCCCTTGACTTAAACTCCACACACCTAGAGATGCAACCCAACATCTTATTGGCCTTTTTAATTGCTTTCCCACACTGGCGCGAGTGGGACATGGAAGCATCAACATACACACACTGAGGTCTTTCTCATAATCAGCTACCTTTATTTCAATGGAACCCATAAAATATCAGTACATTAAATTTCTGTTCCCTGTATGGATTACCTTACATTTATCTGTGTTAAATTTCATCCACCAGGTATCAGCCCAGTTGCTAATTAAATCAAGATCCCGTTGTAGCCTCAGTACTGCTAGTTTAGTATCTGCTTCACCACCCACCTTGGTGTCGTCTGCAAATTTAAGCAGTTTACTGTATGTATTGGTGTCAATATCATTAATGTAATTTAGGAACAATAGTGGTCCTAAAATTGAACCCTGCGGTACCCCACTATGAACGGAGGCCCACTGTGACATTGTGCCTCTAATAACTACCCTTATCACACACCAGTAGATAAGGATTTCTGAAATAGTAATGTTAAAGGTTGGCTAATAATATCCCTCATCTCTTTTAAAACTATAGGTAAGATGCCATCAGGGCCCTGCGATTTATTTATTTTGAGCTTAGCTAGGCTTTGTATCACATCAGCCTCAGTTATACATATATTGGTCATAGAGAACGCTGTACTTGTACTAAATGGTGGCAAGTTACTTGTGTTCTCTACTGTGAACACCTGTGTAAAATAATCATTAAACTCATTTACTATATCAATTTCATTTTCAATTATAATACCCTAACTATCCTGCAGATTGGTGATTTCAGCCTTTAGAGCTCATTTGGAATTAAAATATTGGAAGAAACTTTTAATGTTATCCTTAGCCTCCAATGCAATCTGCCTTTCTACATTCCTCTTGGCGAGTCTAATGTTATTTTTTAACTGAACCAGTAGACTTGGATAGTCCTGCTTTATTTTGAAATTGCTAGTTAATTTCCATTTGTGGAAGAGAGCCCTTTTCCTCCTGACTTTATTCTTAATTTCCATAGTAAACCACCTTGGGTGCAGTTTCCTAGATTTAGTTTTGCTGGAAACCGGTATGGAGTCCTCTTGCACTTGCAACAATGTGCTTTTGAAAAATTCCCATGCCTCTTCAACTGTTTTGCTATTTAACTCTGTCCAGTTTACAGTTTCTAATTTCCGTCTCATACCATTAAAGTTAGCCTTCCTAACATTGTATACTTTTAATTTCGACTTTCAGCTTAGGACACTAAAATTAACCTCGAATTTAACCATGTTATGATCACTACCGTACAATGGGTCTAAAACCTCTAATTTTGGGTTCATGACACGAATCCATGCTACA